TTGACGCGTCACCTCCAAAGGCGCTTTTCCCCGACCTGAACGCCAGCCATCTCGTAAACCGTTGGACAGGGAATTTTTATCTTTTAATTAAAAGCGATGCCACGCCGCATTTTCCCGGGGAAACCCGACTGCCGAGCAGGACTTGGCCCACTTTTGCACCTCTCGCATGTAGGTGGGCATTAATTAAGCACTTTACGATTGTTTCCCATGTGGAAAGGGATGAAAATCCAAGCAGGGGACATTATGGGGAGCCTCCTCAGCAGTTTTGTTTTATTGGCCGACTCCTAATATATAAATGTTTATATAAGTAATAAAATAAATTATATGTTCTTCAAGTGGCTCGGCGCATGGCGGCAGCTGCTTTTCACTCATTTTGTGCAATTAACTTGGCCAGAAGCGGGAACAAAGGGGCTTTTGGGGATCATTAGGGTTCAGTCAAGAGGCTAATTGGCTGCGAGCTGCTTCTGGCCTTTCGAGGCTGCAAATTTCGAATGGGCGCCGTAATCAGATAATAAAGCATTTCGTTCACAGAGCATATAGATTCTTGGAATTCCCTGTTTGCAGCACACACAATCTGTATCTATAATGTGCCAGCTCGCTTATGAATTTTATTCCATTCAGCTTTGGCCAGCTTTGCATTTGTTTTATTTTCCAGCATCCACTTTTGCATAAAAATGACTTTAAATTGAATAAAACGCGGCAAGCGTCGCAGTTTTAGGCGACATTAAAAACTCGTATATTAGGCTAGCTGAACTGGTAAAATATCACAGATGGTTATTTTGCCTAACAACATTAAATTAACTTCATTGATTTCTTTTACACATTTATCTCATTTATCTCTCCCCATAAAATTGTCTAGACAACCCAAAACAACCTAAGACATTTAGCGCACTTTAATTCTAAGTTTAAAATATAAGTAAATTCAGTTAGATGTTTTTCCATCGAGTTTTGACACATTTCTGGCAATTGGGCCAAATTGATTCAGTAGGGAATTTAAATGATGGCTAAAAATACGCGAATAGCTATTTGTCTGTTTAATTATTTGTTTATTAGTGAAATCGTTCATCTATGAAATATTTGTAAATACAGCAAATGAATAAACTAATTCGCCTCTTTTGTTTGCATTCTCTTTGCAGGTAAGCAAATTTCCTCTACCGAACATATCCACGCCCAAATTCTAGTATTTCCGAGTAAGTTTGGTGTTCATTCATCTAAACAAACATGGACCTATCCATTCATACACTCGCTCCATTGTTTGCTACTTCAACTCGATTCCGCGGAGCGATCAGATGGAAATATTTCGAATTAGCTATACACATTTCGGTTGGCCAAGTTAACACAGCTGGGAGAAGAGCAAAAGAGCTGGCAGATTCGAATCGAAAATAAGACACAGATACCAGTGTATATAGCGCACATATATTTGTGATTGTGATTGTGCATGAACAAGCAGTTATAAATAATTTCTGGCAAAAAATCAGCAACTTTTTCCGTTGATCTCCAAGTATAGAGCGTTGGCTCGCTGCCAAAGCGAATTGCGCATACGCCGTGTGGTCCATTCCTATTTTCCTAGCAGTGCGTGTGTGTGTGTTGGTGTAGGCATGTGTGTATTAGTGGGCATATGCGTGTGGCTGGTCTCTCCCCATGTTTTCTCTGGAGAAACATCTCTTTCGATGTGGCGATTTTAAGGGAGCTGCCATGAAGACTTCTCTTTTGTTTGCTGGTTTATTTTGTTGGTCCACCAGTTTTCCCCCATTCAGCTGATAGGGCAGGGAAGTGGGTGGTCCAGAGGGGTGGGGATAGTCCCCCTCCCCCTTAGCTGTCCACACTGCCAAATTGTTTGTCAGCTTCTCACATTTTCACATCGCATTTTCAGCACATTTGTTTTTTCTCTCAACTGTGGCCGCTGATTTTCTCGGTGATTCTGTTGTGGCATGGCTCATTAATTTGCGTCTAATTAGTTTTGATTTTCGCTTGTCAATTGGGTGGAACAAGGACTCATTTCCCGCCTCCCGCCTCCCGCCTCCCGCCTCCCTCCTCCCTCCTCCCTAGCCCCGCCCCTCAGCTTCCGCGCATCGTTTTCCTCAGCTGACTTGACTTTGGCAAAGAACTTGTCGCTGCACAGATCAAAGTGGGCAGGCGTATGACACAAAATAAATATTAAATAAATATTAAATAAATGGCGCGAGTTGTTGCCTGTTGCCTGTTGTCCGCTTTCCCACATAGCCGTTCCGATTTTCCCGCATTTTCCTCTCTTTCGAGTGCTTTCCCGACCTTCGACAGCTGTCGGCCAATGCCAAGTGAAAAATTGACTGTCGGCGGTCTTAAGCGATTTTCGATGGCAGATCCCGCCCAAGTCCAACTCGCAGCCCCAATGAAATATATTTTCCTTACCCGATTTTTCAAAATACATACCTATGACGCACCATATGCAGTATATAATGTATGAGCTAGAAACCAGAACAATTAGAAATGATTTCTTCCTGTGCAGATACATCAATTTGCCAGCCGTTTCGATCCATTTGTTGACCAAATTTGGTCAAGGCGCAGTTCTTTGTAAAGCCATAAAATTCGCAAAATTCGCAAACGAGACCAGCGACAAAACAATAACAGAAATCCATTTCCCTGGCATTTCAGCTGCAACCCCCGCCACTCCGATTCCCCGCGCCTCTGGTCTTTGTTCTTGTTGCTCTTCAAGTCCGCTGGTCTTTTGAAAGCTCAGACATCTTGGCATGCAATAAAAACAAACCCCAGAAGGAAAAGGGAGAGGCAGCCAGAATGCAGTGGCCCCGGAAAATTCATGGGAGGGGAGGCACGAGCTTGTTGCACACTGGGAAAATAAAGCAGATGGGAAAACAGGGAGGGCTCTTTGCATTCTGCATTCAGCATTCTGGACGAGAGCCAAAAGTTTTGTCCGAGGACCCAGTGACATGACAAGCGGTTTCCGCCGCCTTTCCCGCTCCTTAGAGCTAAATGGCTGAGATAATGTATTCATTTCTCCTCATGCCAATTGCCCGATGCCATTTAACACTTCCTCAAGGGGCAGCACACCGAAAATGAGAATGGGAATGGGAATGGGAACGTTAATGGACTGGTCACTCAAATCGCCAAAATGGCAGGCCCAGTGGGTCAACCTCGATTACGGATGCTGAAAAGGAATCCCAGATGATCCTGTGGGATGACTGCATCGCAAATGAGGTGCAGCTATGCCTTGCATATTTCAAGGGAATAGCAAATGAATTAAATGTGGGGTCATTCTGCTGTATTATTCACTTGGCGGAGTCATAAAAAACCTATGAATCGAATCATTTCTGGCCCAATGAAATGCACAAGTTCTTCTCCTTTCGCCAAAGAACATTTATCCGCATTAGTTTATTTATTCGAGTTTCGTTTAATTGTTCAGATCTAACTACAAGTTCGATACAATCAAAGGGCTTAATATGTTTTGGGCTGCTCAGCACTTATCGATCGACAACTAAGACTATTATTGTTCGAATGTATATATCATATATCTAAGTATGTATAGTGGAGTATATAACCGTACTCGTAAAATGTTCCTCTATAATGGATGTTCGTTAAGATGTAAAACTTTATAACTCTCGATTAATACATTTTGATTCTCCTTCGATATGAATGTGTGTGTGTGTGTGTGTGTGTGTATGTGTGCGTGTGGCGAGTTTGGGCCAAATTTCTATTTAAATTTTCAGCGAAGCCCTCGAAAAACTCTTGGCAAACTTGGCCCACATCCGCTTAGAGAGCTCGGAGCGTTTGATGAAACTTTAATTTCCATTTGGACACACTGACAGCAATCAAGTTAAACTGCCCCGGCAAGAGTTAAATTCCCGACCACGCCCCCGCGCGGCACACGCCCCTTTGCGGGCCCATTGTAAAGTTTCAATGCCCGCTTCCCCGTTCCCCCCGCTTCCAAACGGGGTCAAGTGTGTGTATGCCCCTCGAGGACTCAAGTGCTCAGGCTCCAAAGAAAACAATAAAACGCGCTGCGGCGTGCCAAAAGGAAAAACAACCGAAAAATATGAGAAATATGTATAGAAAGAAAAGCAGCCATTGAACAAAACGCAGCCCAAAAGGCTGAAACACAGCCGCCTCGAGTGTGGCAAGAAATCGATAAAAAAAAAAATACAAAAAGCGAAAAATGAAAAATGAAAAATGAAAAAGAAAACAAGGAGCAAAAGTGCGCCCGACACTTTTCAATTGTTGGGAAATTAAAACGCCCCATTTAAAGCGTAATCTCTGGACGGCCAGTGAAAATTGAAAATGAAAATGGAAATGAAAACCTCTCGGTGTCACATTCAATACATTACTTTAACAACAGCATGTGCATTAATTTTAAAATAGCATAAAAAAGAGGAGCATAATGAAAGACAAACAACGAGGTGGCAGCAAAGTGTTCAATAAAAAAATGCAAAAAATTATGAAATTAATTTCTGCTTTTCATGCGCTTTCTCTAGCGGTGGCCACTACTCTGAATTCTTTAGCTCCTGCTGCTGCAGATTTTCCAGTGGTTTTCCCCTGCCATTTCCCGTGGCGACTTGCCGCTGCGGAAAACTTTCCTTATGCACGCAGAGGGAAAAAGACGACAATGTGAGTTGCACGGGCATATTAAAAATTCGCAGTAACGCGACAATGCGCCTCAGAAATATTTTTAAAGATGTTCAAACTCTCTATTAAATTCGGAATGGCACTGCATACTGTTTATTATCTTCTGAAACAGACATCAAATTCGCTGCAGCTGATAACTGTGATATGCTGTGATAACACCCATTTAGCACATGGTGTCTGTCACTTTAATGCTTTTCTCGCTGTGTATCCATGTGTCTCAGCGGTGGTCGTGTGTAGTGGTGTGTGGCGCGTATTGTGCACTCCCAAGACTACCGTTACTAATTAGCGCGCAACCTAGTTTAACAGTTCTTCGAGGGTTTATCTTCCGCCCGCGGTGATCCCCCTGATCTGCCCGCACCACCCCCTTTTCGCCGCCCATTGCCACTGGATTTCCCCTGGCTTTCCCGCCTACTCCCTGCGCTTTTTCCCACTTTTCTCACTCAACCGAGAGTTGAACCTAGTTGAGTTCCTTTTCGCATTAAATGGAAACCGCCGCGAGTTGACTTGTGGCCTTTGCTTTTGTAGCGTCTTCATTTTCCTGCCTCCCCCCTCCCTCCTCCCACCGAGGCTGCACCGGAAGAAAAGACGATATCTTGGACCTAACAGGTGTTGTGATTAATCCAGTTAACTCCTACTTGTAATGAAGCTCTGCCTATGTCGTTGTAAACCCGAATACTGGGTTGATGGCCGATACAGTCTCTAGACAAGTACGCCTAATGAGCCATATTTTGCTCAGACATATTTGATAGCTTTATATTTCCGTTGGTTACTTCATCAGCGCGATTTCTCGTTCTCACTCCCTGTGCCCTTTGGGGGCTCTGTGGGCGGAGCCTGCCTCTAGAGCTCCCCTCTAGACAAATATAATTTCATTGCGCTCCGCTTTGTGGGGCGACGGCTGGCGTTGGAAGGCGTAAACGTTGACGATTAACTGCGCCATGAAAATGAAGCAAAATAAAACGATTAGAACTAAATACAGGAAGATATCGCGCAGCATCGCTGGGGATGGGGCTCTTCACTCGGGCAGAGGCCACAGCTCCAGACTCCGGCTGACTCCAGATGTCATGGCTCCTCGGCTGAGTTTCCCGCTGTTGCTTTTCCGGCTGCCCCGCTTCTCATAGTCTCATTACGCTCGTGCGAATGGGAAATGGGAAATGGGCAACGGGAGTTGGTGGTGGTGGAGTCGGATTATGTGGAACCAGCTGCAATGAAAAGCGGAAGGGGAAATCGTGAGTGAAAAGCAGATGGAAGTAACGGCCAGATTATTCATATACCTCCATCACGCACGTCTGGCAAAAGAGAAAAAATACAGAACCAGCTAAGGAAACCCAGTAGATAGAAACGTATCACGAATGAGTGACAGATTCAAATTAGTTGGCTACAGATACCCTTCTTATTTGCAACAGATATATGCTTAACTTCCCTATGCTCGTGATGAGCTGTAGCTGTCCAGGAAATATAGCTGGAAATTATGTAGCGCATTCAGGGGAGTGATTTATCAAACTTATGGCAACAGGGTTACGCAAAGTCTGGGAAAAGGATAAAGAAAGTGCGGCGCACAAAGGATTATCTCTGGACAAGGAGCAGTCCGTTGCCTGGTCTCAGGCTTTCTTTTGCCCCAGCTGCCTTGTGGCAACATGGAAAGTTGCGTCCCCGCATTTTCCCACCCGCGACTTTGCGACACAGGGAACAGCACTCAGATTACGCATACGCCGCGTGGGCCGTGGAAGGGATAAGGCCGAGGGAGAACGGAAGACAGATTCAAGGATGCGTTGCACAATTGCATTTCTTGTTGCCAGATGCCACTGATGTTTTTTGCCCCCCCTTGCTGCGCATTTGTACTCGGCATGTTGCCCAATATGCTGGCAAAAAGAAAGGAAAGGGCTCATAGCTCGCAGTACGTGGCATGGAAATTAAACAAATTAAATTTCAACTGAGCCGCCACAAAGGGCATTAGATTTCCAGATTTAAATGGCAAGTGGCAAGTGGGAAGTGGGAAGTGGCAAAGGCGAGGTTTCCACATGAGCAACATGTGCTCGAAATGCATGCCACTCGACCCGACCCATCACGCCCCTTGACCTGCCCCTCGGAATGCCCCTTTGAAGGCCCGCCCTCTGCATTCTCAACTTCCACTCGAATCCACTCGAAACGCTCTCAATTAGTGGGGAAATAATTTAAGGCAAATTGCATTTCAGCTGCGAAAAAGGCTCAGAAACTGCGAATAAAACTAAAAACTGGGAAATAATTGAAGTATTTCAATCCGATTAGCCCTGTTTAAAAATGTATTTGTTGATTCAGATATGATTAGGAGAACGTTTTAATTTAAATACGTGGAATCCACCGCAAAAGCGAATGCCGCAGCTTTGAAGTGCGATCCATTTTGCGAAGTGCACTTACTTCCTACTCATTCAAAAAAGGGCATGCGGTCATGAGCTTTTGAACTGAAATGCAAACGGCAAACTGCAAACTGCAAACTGCGAGCTGCGAGCTGCCAAATGCAATCATCAGGCATCCGACGACCTGGAACGGACATCGCAGCTGGAATCCCAATCCTTTGCCGCCCCAAAAGTCCTGGGGTCTCTTTCAATTAAACGCTTATCGCGTTCGAGGCAGTCGCTGAATAAGTTTTAACCCTCGACCCCTGGAGTTCTCCGCCCCATGCCCCATGTCCCATGTCCTGCGTTTGTCCAAAAGAAGAAGAACCATTTTGAAAAGGACGCTGCCACATTCCGTGGCTCGCACATCATTAGGCCGACTTTCGAAGGGGGCGGAGTGGCGGCGGGGCGGGCACTTGAAACAAAGCGAAGCGCATCAAAGATTATGAAACTCATTAAAAAAGTTTCGGCGGGGCAACAAATCTAGCAAGCTGAGGAATGTGACGCAGCTGCCACGGCCCGCTTTCTGCCATAACTTAAGGTCAGGGGGAAGAGGGGAAGAAAAGGGAAGAGAGGGGGGAGTAAATGGCCACTGGGATTTGTTTTTCCCTAAGCTGTTTATTTTTAGCCCACAGTCCAGTCTCGGGAAAATGAGGGAAATAGCAAAGTGAAAAGCACACACTTAGTTCGGCAGCACAGCAAAACAAGTAAAGGCGATTTTATTAGACTGAAGAACTTGTAAGTCATCTTATTTCATTTTCAATTCGTTTTAATTTCACTCTCAAGCGGAATCATCCGCAAAACTTTATTTATTTCCCTGCGGTCACATGCCATTAAACTTGCCTAACAGCACTATTATTTCAGTAGTAAATAAAACGAAACGACTACGTGATACCCCCTAATGAACGGGTCCCCGGGGAAGGAACAACTTGCAGCCTGTTGCGTGGAGCGGAAAAGTGTGGCTCCTCCCGGATTTTCGAGTGCTTCATAAATTAGACGTCAAAGCCGAAGGATCAAACACCCATGGCAACTTGGCAGCACGCACACGTGTGTCTCTGCCCCAGTGTGTGTGTGTGTGTGTGTGGAAAAGGGTCAAAGGTTGTCAAAGGAGCTGGGGGCAGGCAGGAATTTGTGCCGCTGGCGAAAGTTTTGCGGCGCCTGGCAAACTTATTAAAGAGTTCGAAGCCAAACAAATTGGCAAGGCGAAAAAGGGAAAACTTGCCGAGCCATTGCGGCCATTAATTTTCACTGGCGGCGCACACGAAATGCAAATGAAACTTGGCACAGGAATGCTGAATGTTGGCAGTCAGTCAGTTGGCGAGTCAAGAGGGGGCCACAAAAGTCAATGAAGTGTTAAATGTCCTGCGGTGTTTCGGTGTTATCCTTATGTTGCCACACACACACACGCACACGCACACGCACACACACACACGCGTGTCCAATTTCCGCGGCTTCCATTTGCATTTCTGCGTGCCTGGCGTCCATAAGAGCCCACAGCTGAGTAAAAAGTTCGCAGTCATATAATTAAAGCAACAATGCCAGACAAGCCCGCGGCATAAATCACTAGCAGTTGCCTGGGCAGCTTCATTCATGTGTCTTCCGAGCGGGATTCCGATTCCATTCATGGCCAAATACTCCGAGCTCACGCACTTTTATGAGCAACATTATGTCCCTGCGTCCGCCGGAAAAAAAGGATATACACGTTACCAATTTATGCTGAGCCGCTCGTAAACTGGCCAAAAAGGCAAGAACTCCACTAACGAGCCAAGGCGTAAACGCTTTTCCCTTGGTTTCTTTTCATAACACTTCGCTGGCCATTCGCTTTGCCTTTCGGTTGAACGCGGCGTATGCGTGATATTTCGTCGATTTGCGCCTCGCCTTCGCTTCTTTTATTCAAAAAGTCGCGGCCAAAAGTCGCGTTGTTTTCAGTTCGACGTTGCTGACGCGACTCGGGCGTTCCGGCGATGGAAGCCGCTTCTTATAGCTGTTCGTGGCTCCGGCTCCGGCTCCGGCTTCGTCCTTCGTCCTGCGTCGGAAAACCTCACCAGTTGAGCCTCGCTTCGGCTGGCCACTCGGCTCGGGGCTCGTCCCTTCGGACGGAAATGGTTGTTCAGCAAATGCAAAGAGTTCTCAGTCAACAGGCCGAAAAACAAGGAACAAGTGGGCAACGGCTACTAGCTACTGGCACATCCTGGCACATCCTTGTGGAATCGCTGCCCATCGAAATGGCACCGCCAAATTGCTTGCTGCAATCCAAAGAGCGCAACTCAACGCGTTTCTTGCTAGAAAACATTCAGGTGGCTTGGGAAAACCTTAAATTACCTACGAATGCCGTTCAGCAAACCCCATTTGTTTCAATCTAATCGCTTACATCATATCGATCTGCGGGAAATGGAAGGCCTACCGCAACTTGCGCCCAAATTTTCTCCTGTTTGCAACGCCTTTCGCCCTGTCATGTTTATATTTCCAGCCGCATCATAAGGCAAACATTTTAATTTGCCATGGCCTGTAGTGCCACGCCCCGCAAACACACGCCGCCCACACACAAATATTGACACTCAACTAAGCCGGCAGGCAAACGCTGACCAAAACCAACGTTGGCACCCCTATATCTTTTTGCAGATCCTCCGCTGATGACGCCAATCATGTTCATGTTCCCTGGGCGGCCAGGGGCGTGGACGGAAGGGGGTTTCCCTGCCGTCAGTTGGCGTGACAAGCAAGACTTTAGACTTACAGGATGCCGTGAAAGAGGAGGGGAGGGGGTGGGAGGGGTTGGTGAGCAGACATCGGCACAGTTTGTTATTATTTAAATCAGGAAGTCGACGAAATTTCCTGTGCCAGTGGGGCATGGCCAACAAATTGGCAGCTGACTTCCGCAGCCGAGTCAATTAAATTTTCCCTTTAAGTGATTTCTGTCGCCATCAAATGTCGCAGCCTCCTTCGTCCCCTTTTCCAGATTTCCCGCCGGGCTTCCCTTCCCCTCCATTTCCCTACACCCCCTCTAATGAGAAATCGATGTGTTGTAATTTGTTCAAATCCAATTTCGGCGCACGGCCGTGGCGGTAACCGTAGTCCGTAGTCCGTAGTCGGTAGTCCGGAGTTCGGAGTCCGGAGTCCGGACAAAGCACCTGGCCCCCAATCGTCACGATATCCTGCGAGAACACTGAAAAAAACAAGCAGACATAATCGTACGTGTGATTGGAATAGCAAAGTTAGATTTAGATTGCAGCATCTATGCAAAAATGTAGAGCACAATGAAGTACAGACCCATTTTTAAACTAGTTTTTACTAGTGTATTTTCTCAGTGCACGCTGAGGACCGTTTTAATGAGTTTTTATTGCGCTTCAGGTGCTTTGATTGCTGCGATTTTTAACTTGATTTACGCGAGTTTAGTGAGCGGGCGCGAGGGGCCCTCCACTATTGATTTTTCAATTAAGCCGGACCCCCCACCCCCCGATCAAAAGTACCCCACCCCCCCGCGCCCCAACCCACCGTACTCCCCCATGCATTTTGCATGTTTTTCGCGTGTTGCCAGCGTTTGTTTTGTGAGAAAGCCGCCGAGGAAGGACTGTCTTTTGTGGCAAGTTTTATGCGCCGCATCCTGTGCACAAACGGCAGGGGCAGGGGCGGGGCAGGGAGCAGGGGCGTAATGTAGGGGGTTCCACTGTACTCGCGTTGTAGCGCAATTTATGCGGTAATTGCTTTTTTAAGCGCTTCGCATTTATCTTTTCGACACAAGTGAAATGAGTTTCTGCCTCCTTTGCGTGCCTTTTGTCGATTTGCCACACCAGCAGCAACAACAACAACGACAAGGATATCAGCAACAACAACTAGCGGCTGAAGCCTCCTGTCACAAAGCCAGCGAAAGCCAAAAAAAGAATGCTCAACTACTTACAATGGCATTTTTATGACGTCTTCTATTTGTCTGCGCATCACGTTCTGCCCCACTGCCACGCCCCCTGACCCCTGCACTGCGCGAAAAAATGTGACAGCCTGCTGAACTCCTTTTAAAAAAATCCTTCAGTGGATTCAGGCAAGGTTTTCAGCTCATAAGCAGCTTTAGGCAATCTTATAATCGAATTTAATTATTTGTCCTGCATTTTATTCAGCATACTTGTTGTTATACTTTCAAATAGGCAAACAATTCTTTACTGTGTAGTTAACCCACTAAGGCCCCCTTGACAAGTATGCAGCATCTTCTGTTATTGTTGTATATGGAAATGCCGCGAAAGTTTTCCCGCGCCCTTTGACCCCTCCGCCGTCCCCTTCGCCCATCACCCTAATTAATTTAACGCAATTCGCTCAAAAATTACACAAAGTTGATAAAACGAAACGGGAATGAAAATGATATGCAGGGCGGAAAATGGCGCATCTGGATTCTTGGGACCAGCCGCATGATTTATGGCATGCATTTGGTTAATTTTAATTTTATGTGCTGCCCATAAAAATTACCCGCATGGAAATTTGTCATTTTAGACTTCAACAAAATCGGGTTTTCGGAGCTCGCAGGTTGCGGGCGAAGCAGTTTATGATGTGCAATAACAACCATTATTCGCTTTACCTGTATTTAAAGTATTTTATGTTAAATTGGCTAGATTTGAAAAGTGTTTATAATTTTTGAATTTCCAGTTGCCCTCAAAGTTTGGCCGCTCCTCTGCAGCAGCTGCTCTCAAACTGTAAACTACAGATCGGTTAATTCTCTCTTCTCTCTTTTACTTAAAAAATATGTAACGAATTTACTTGTTAAACAGTACAGATCAGCATATGTTCTCAGACAGATCGAATCAAACACTGACTTACTAAGTTTTTAATCACAGTTGAATTATTTTGTTTTATAATTTACAAGTAAAAGGCACTTTTCGGAATACGGTCATACTGCTGAGCTCGAATTCGAACTGTGCGTCGAGTAGGACCGTATAGCGGTAACAGTGAAATCCCAACCTCCCCAATTCGCCAGTTATTTCTCGTGTTATCCCAACGGTCACACTTCGATGTTCTCACCTTAGTGCCATTCCAATTTTGTATTTTAATAAACTAGTTGCAATTAAACAATTGCGCTGGCTGCAAATTGTTTGTGCGAACCGAGCGAAAAGAATATTTCCAAAAACCACGCGGGTTTCTGTCAACAATAGTGGTTTCAAACGGTTTTTCGTGTGTCACGCCCAAAAATCAACGGCGAAAAATTCTAGTGCGTGTCAAAAAACCAAATACAGTGCAATAACAACAACAAAGGGCAGCTAACGGTGAACCGAACGCGCAAACAAAAAGCCACACCAACAACATGGAGGTTAGTAGTGTAGCAATTGTTGCTGCCGCTCAAGTGTCTGAATTGCTTTTCATTGAGTTGTTATTTTTTTTTATATGTGGGGTGTTTGCCTTGAATGATTTCATTTCATTAATTTAATTTTTGTTTGCTTCGAGTTTTCTCTCCCTCTCTCTCTCGCTTGCCGATTACGTCAGTTTTGGCTCTCTTTCGAGTTCGTTCTGGAGTTTGCGCTCTCTTCTCTCTCTCTTCTCCGGCACTCAACTTCAATCCCTTTTCCCTCCCTGCGCCTACTTATTGATTCCCCGTCCCATTAATGAATTCATAAATTTAATAGCTCTTATTATGTCATCGCTTTCTTTTTTGTAGCTCTTGTTTTGTGTCTCGATTTCGGCATATTTAGCATTTTTATATAATTCGAGCTGAATTCCCTTATCGCGCTGAAACAGCTGTTTTATATTCGTTTACCGCTATGTCGAGCTCTTATCTTCCGCATCGAATTACTCATTTCCCAGCCATGACGCTATAGATATCGAGCTTCCACCGCTCCAGATTGTAAATCCTCCGCAACTGGTGACAGATTATGTGGGTCCTACTAGCCAAGACTTTAATCTCCACTATATTATGATTATTATAATTATACACAGAAGATAATGGACACAGTTTCGATGGGCAGTGGTCGCCTTATGAATTTGTGATTTCCCTAATTGAGTTTCCCCTCGAAATGCGTGGGATAATCCCGGCTCTTTACTGCCCCCAATTAAACCGGGCCCCAACCCTTTGAGCCCTTCTACCTTCCTGCAGCTAGGAACTATATAAACCGGAAGAAAATCCGAGGGGGCGTCAAAGTCGCATTTAACATCGCTGAGCTGAGTAATTAATCGCCTTCTGGCGTTTAGTCCGCGTGGACCAATGGACAGCCATGAAAAGCTTTTTTGCTTTTTTCCCATCCACGGAATAGGGGCACAAGTACAAAAACAAAAACAAAAACAAAACGGCAATGTCGGCCAACATAAAATTGCTCATTTCCGTCGTTTAATTGACGCCAAACACATGAAAATTGACGAAAGACAAAACCATCAGTAGCCGCAAAGCAAAAAAAGATTAAACTTGTTTGTCCACCGAGAAATCCACAACAAAGTGCTTACGTACTATCTACAGTGCGTTTCGGCACTGTAAAAAGGGCGAGGGTCACTTGAATAGTGAAACCAGGCAAAAATGAAATGGGATGTCTTATAAATGGGTGTTTTTATTGCACATTATGGACTCTAAAACTTAATTATACTCTGGCATGTGCAATAAATGACATATATCGTAGGAAACTTTCATTGACATTGAATGTAACACTAACAACACTTAGTGAAACACTAACAATGACAACCTTATTATAAAGAAAACAACTCAGTTCAACTTTTGTTGATATATTCAGCCGCTTATCACAACCTTATTATAAAGGAAACATATCAGTTGTTGATATATTCAGCCGCTTACCAAATAATAATTTATATTTACAAGTGGTGTGGCAATCAAGAAACTTACTGTATGCTTATAAATAGCAAACTGAAAGATGATACATTAAACACATGACAGCATAAAATCTTAGTGCTTTGCTAATATTCAGAACTTCTAACCTATTCGGCGTATTAAACCAATCGCAATCGAACTGCTCAGTTCATTTAGCACCTCACTG